GTCGTTGACGTAGGCCTGCATAATTTATCGCACACTTCATCCGGAAAAAGCTCTCGAATCCTTCAGATGGATGATTTTTTGATGTCAGCTGGTCACCGCAACTCATTGTATGAACCAAATAAGCATTAGATTCTTCATCACTATTCTGAAAGGAAGAAGACTATAGGCGAGCGTCTCGGAAAAGGGATGTATCGACACCAAAAAACTGGCTCATCCTCACTCCATATTTTTAATGTGTTCCATAGTTATAGTTTATTCGGTAGAGTGCAGTACGCATTGCCTATTGAAGGCACGAGAAAGTTCCAAACTTTCGACTAGTTTGGTTACTCCACATTTTTCATAAATAACAATCGATGAATAAGAACCAATTCACTCTTGAGGAATAGATTCTACACGAGCCATCTTTTCGATGCTTCCGCAATTTATGGTTTCGAAACCGAAAAAGCTTCGTAATCATAGACTGTGGGAGCAATTTTTTTCACCAGGTCAAGCATAAGCCAAAAAACATACCAACCAATTACTATGATGTAATACAGTGGAGATTTGGACGGCCTCTCACAATCCAACCCCACTAACTCCCTATCATTTGGCTTCAGCGCCTCACGTACATAACACAGAACCACGAAGACTTCACAGACAATACTTTACACGCCAGTAAACCCCCAAGCGCACAAGATCATGTATGACATAAGGTTAAACAAAGATGCACTTCAGTTCAAAAACGGAAGAAACATGAGCATAGGCCTGGAAGTCATGGTTCGCAACCAGTGAGTGAGACAATTCTCCCAACTCCTTGCTTTTCGCTCCTACCTCGCTCCTCCCATTTCCGTTAGTCATCTTTATCACGTTGGTGTCTGTAAGGCGTTGTTCGAGACAAGCCTGAAATGACCTAACTCTATGGCTGCTTTCGGAAGAAGCTGGTGCCTGATTTAAATATCAAAAAAAGCTAAATTAGAACGGCGAAGAATTGCAAGAAACAAAATATAATATTTTCTTCCTTAATATCCCAGTATAATGTCATAATTACCTCGGAATTTTTAAGCATTCAAGTTTGCTCTAGAGTGTTTATGTGCAATGCTTCGTCGACAAACGAAAAGAGAAAATGGTCGAACGGTAAACATGACCTCTCATCAGCTGTTATTAGCCCTCGCCAATAACCATCCATGATCCCGACTGAACCCGCATTACTCTTCGAAGCGTCAAATTTCAGTATTCAAAAGGACGCAGCCGACTGAAAACCCTTGCATTGTACCGTAATTTATGGCATTTTTCACTTTTGCTAAGTCCCTGTCACAAGGTATCTTCGATCACATCACACTCTATGTGATCTACCACAGGCCATGGTCTCACTTTTGATACATAATTGCTTATTATGACACTCACTATAACCCTCACAGCACTGTATGAATGTACATATATATATACATACATACATACATACATACATACATACATACATACATACATACATACATACATACATACATACATACATACATACATACATCCCACTCATAGCCACCCCTTTAAACATGGGTTTTAAGGTGATTGTTTGTCACAATTATGATCGAATGATTCATAAGAGGACCACTCTATCTGGCCAACGTCTTACACACAAAATTTTTTACTTCGTGGGTATACCGATGGCTCACTCTCTTGTCCTCCCGTTAGATTTGAGACACGCAATACTCCTACGAACGCTTGTTTTATTCATATAAAATTTCGTTGACATTCTTGACAATGGCTCACTTTCGGTCTTAGATGCCGAAACTATCATGCATTTATATTCCCAATTTCACTTCTACACACTAACGCTTAGAGGACATTGGTGATGAACAATCAGTTCTGATCTTGTCGTCAGTCCGTTTATCGTTGAGACCGTGCTTATCGAATTCAGCCCATCCTGCCATAATAGCTCGGTCAAAATGCCAGATTATGATACACTCTCTATAATTGCATATTTGAGCTCTACGTGTAAAAAAACTTTTACAGTAACTGAGCCTTTTATGCGTATGCAATAATCTGTACGTGTCTGTGTTCATCCATTATTTTGCCATTTAGGTGAATTACACCTCCATAGAAGCGAGAGATCTTGTTATGAGAAATTTTAGCAGTTCTCAAGCGTCATGATGGTACCACCCAAGAGCGCGATTCGTCAGCGATCATCATGCACAGTGTTTCTTCTTCATCTGTATTAGCATTTCCCATCGCCTATTACAGAACAGCACAACCTTGTCGCACTCTACGTTGAATCTCAATGCGGATCAAATCCTTGATTTAATTACATCGTGGAACTACCCATTTCCTTCTTTAGAAGTTCCACTGACCTTGACAAAGACTTACTATAATGGGTTACGATATTTTCGGCATTTTTGTGTAAAGTAGGAAATCAAGTAGATTTCATCGATGTGAGAAAAGCTTTATGAAAGGCATCTTGCCTCCCACAGGTATTCAATCATTGAGTATGACTAGTGTGATTGAGCTTGACGCTAGACGATAGTCGGCAAAACCCTAACGTTGGCCCCTTTTTCTTAGAAGTATATCTCAAATGCATTTTAGTAGATACAGCTTTTCAGAGCAGTTTTTGAAAAAAGTATTCCTGCAACTACATTTAACTTCGAGGCTTCACAAGTGCTTCGCTTGAATTCAATTCTATTCTTGTTCTCTAGCGTACTTTGCCAGCAGAATGGTTGTATCACTTCTGATTCAACGAATTCTTATTATTCTGTTTTGTGAGCGTCTTTGTTTCTCTGTTTTGTGAGCGGGTTTGTTTCTTACAAATGACGTGCTTTCAGCCACAGTTGCACATTTTCGGAAGCATTCAGAACTTCCTCTTTTATAACTCAGCGCCTGTTTTCTAACAATAGAACATTTCGCTTTCGTCAAATGTTTAGGGATGACGGTCTTAGAACGAGGGCTGACTGTTCAAGTGATGCTTGTTACATTCATTAATTGATTGAATTCTCGCACAAACTCGCAGAGAGTAAGAAGCAGTGGGGAAGATGGGTGAAAGCAATTGATGACAGTTTTGAAGCTAAATTTCTCGAGCATCTCATATCTCTCTCGGCACATTCAAGTGAGGACCTCGTACTTTCTAGGCGGTCTATGCGTGCTTTTTGAAGCCCTTGATTTTGTTTCTATTGGTAAACTTTCGACATTTAAACAGCTTTGAACCGCAATCGAAATTTAAATATACTACGCATAGTCGCATTCAAATCGTCAAGCATACATTACAACACACAACACATCGAAATTCATCCCAATGAATCAGAAATATTGTAGAAGTCAGTAGTGTACTTGATACTAGCAACGAGGGGGTTTTCATCCGATCAGTCTGTGGGTGTCACACATTTCCTCTTTCGAGTTGATTTATGACTAGCTTGGTATATTACACCCCATGCTTCCATTATTTTCTTTTACCGTGACGTGTCCAAATAACTACGTAAACTCTCACTGGAGGGTGAAATAATTTTTAGTTCGCTCTTAAATTTACGGTGCCTGATAGAACCCTACGCGTAATTTTCCCACATCTTCTGCACTTAATCAAATGGACGCTCGTAAAATAAGGAGACTTTTCAAACATACAATTTTAACAAGGCTGTTCACCGCGCTGCTTATCATAATTTTTAGGTGATATCGCAGACCTTTAATCGAATAGAAGGTGTCTTCAGTAAGGGATCTATTCAGATGCAGAATATCAACACGACTGCTCGCGGTGCCATATTTTCGTGGAAACGACAGAATATCAGGAATTTTCAAGTAAAAAAAAAAGAATGGGAAACGAAGCGAATGGTATGTGCACAGTTCCTCAGGGCTAATTCACCTAAAGCGCTATTTTATGGCAAACAGAATGCACCACACTTTATTACTCCATTCTACCATTCAAAACATAAACAAAGTAGCAACAACAAACATTTATAAAAAGTAGGGGAGTTCCAACTTATTCGAGGTCATAACAGTCCACCTAGGACCAGGTACCTAGACCAATCGGCAATGGTGCTATAGCAGCAATACCCGGGGTTATTGGTACAATAGTAATCTCGTGCCCATAGCAGCACTTTTGTACGTTACCATTTTTGCGAATCTCACTTGATAAAAGATCCTTACATCGCACAACAATATTCTGAAAGAGTTAGTCTACAAACTCGAGCCACATGAAGGTAGGCAAGGAATATTTCTGAGTAGACAGAAGCTTCAGTATGGACGACGTCTGCATGCATCTTATATTTGATCCCCTTCCTGATGTAGATCCCTAGGTTTCTGGCTGCTCGCACAAATAGTCTTCCACAAAGAGAACCATATCTGAATGAGTTCGTATGAAGAGAAAGATGGTGACGCTTTGAGTAGTTAAGATCCAGGGTGTCTTGAGTTTCATTTTCAAGACTATTGGCGACACCTTGGGATATCTACTGAGCGCAAGTCAAGATCGAAGCAAAGCAAAAAGCAGCTAAAACAGTGCAAAACATCACAACGTCCAGAGGAATTCCAGAATTTGAAGAAGTCGCCCGATCGGGCATGCATTATTCTCCTCCGGGGTTTTCGCGCAAACGAATTCCGCAGATTCCCGTATCACTGCAAAAGTGCGACAGCATTTAAGGAACAAAAAGAGAGAAGACGGATATTACAAGTGTGCTTCCCTAATATTTTTAAAATAAGACAAATGCTAAAATAAATTTTCTGGAATTTTATTAAAGCACGATGCAAGATTATCAACATATAAGCATATTCGAGATTGAAATGAAACCAAACAAGTTAAGGTATAGGCGTCCTAGAACAAAAGCACAATTCATCATTATCCTTACTAGATATAATCATTATAAAAGTTGAAAGAGTTGCTTTTACCTACTAGCATACTTGCAAATATAGTAACAACAGTTTTCGAACTGGTCAACCCTAATATGTGACAACAAAAGCAATACTGTACAAATAAATAGAAAATAAGCTCAGTTAAATCCATTCATGATATGTAGTGAAGTGTAGTGAGTTTCCCGTGATTTCTATTACCAAACAGCACAACGTTCTGTAGGATTCATCGGAGTGCCAACCGCACACTTGAACGCTGCAGCAAACTCTGGCTGATTGGCGAGCACCTGATTAACCCTGAAAGAACTGAGCTTAGTAGCTAAATGGGCCAATAAGGGTTCATGTTCCATTAAAGCGAGAGGTGAGCAGTGATAAGAGCCCTTCTCTCCTGATCGAAACCCGATCAAAACGTAGGACAAATCTCCGGCTATTTTAGTGTCAGATTAGGCCGAAAAATAGCACCGTCACTACGATATATTCGGATTACTTTTCGAGAAGCCGGAAGTCCTTCAGAAAATTCATCGGTTGTGGGAGAACAGAGAATCGAACTCTGCACGTTTGGTTATACACTGATGCTGAAGGACTGTCAGAATCTGTAGGGTCAATATCAAGTACGCCTGTAGTTCCCCTCGTGCATACTGCTTGTCTGTTCAGAAGGGCCCGACCTGAGTGAAACAAAAACAGCATCTTCAATTAGTTGATAAGTGGAAATCCCCTGTGGAAGCAAAATGTTTCAATATACGAAGGTTTACAGGTATAGTTCACGATAGAAACGGTTTCTGAAATTACCCCATTTTATGAACCCGGGAGCCCGCCCTACACCACACACACCGTTGTGGAAACGGAAATCGAGAGGTTGTATCGTGTGAATGCCACACCCATAGTGGACGAGTTTCAACAGCATTGTAGAGGCTGCACAATTCACAAGGGAACCCATGTAGGAAGTTCATACAACTTATCATGACCCTGGCGAAAGTGAAAGGCAGTTTCGGACAATGTCGACCTGACGGAGCCATCTCTTTGCGCAGGTGAAGCATGTGAAATCTCGGTCAAACGCCCCTTACATGCCATTTCCGTCATGATGATCTCGTACAACCTCTATTTCCACTACTTCAAGAGAGCCTAGTTTTTNGCGTACTGCTCTTCATCAACGCTTCCACATGTCCAACTTGAGAAGGGTACCTCAAAATTATAGCGAACTGTGCCTTTGAGAACAAACGGGTCATGGAATAAATCAGTGGTTCGAAAGGCGCATTAAGGTGGAACCCTCAATCGTAGGGTTATCAAACATACCGATAGTGTTGTGGCGAGTGAGGATCAGTAAGAATGAGGTTTATAAGTGCATCTTTGGTTGAATGACCACACCATGTCTATAAAATAAAAAAGTTGCATATTAGGCAATAATGTAGACCAAGCGAAATTCAAGTCCTTACAGTTGCATATCCCATGAAGAACATCTGCTCGTTGTTGTATTGTTCTAAGCCTTCAATGCGTTTTTCTTCTCCGTGCTTCTTCAGATATTTTTTGTAGGCCTGAATAATTATAGAGTTATGAAAACGTGCAGGAAAGTGGCATAAAATCTCCATCACTCGTTTCACGGAAAAGTCATTTCCTCATTCGTAGTTGCCACTAATTATTTGTATATACTTCAAGATAAAGATAGGGATGTCATTTTCTGCGGGCTCATGTAGTTGAGATCAAAAAAGTTTTTAGGCGCTCAGCAAACATCAGTGAAGAAAAACCTTCTAGTCCAACAAAGGGTCGGCCATCGCGAGTCACAGTAAAGCCACACACGCCTAGTATTCTTTGTGACGTGGCAGAATGTGGGATAGTGATGTTGCTGGAATCCTGCAACATTGTTGACGAAGTTCCTCACTCAAGCCGTCGCAGAAAAGAAGGTACCCGAGGGTTGGAAAGAGTGAGTCACCGCCCCGATCCGGAAGAAGGACAGCTCTNCGGACACGGACTATCGCCCATTTCGCCTGTTCTCGCATAGTACTAGGATATTAGAAGAATTGTGGACGATTGTTTCGAAAAGCTCGTCTAGTTTTACACCAAGTAATGTGGTTTTGTCATCGATCGCAGCAACTGCCGATCGCCCGTGCGAGAAAAACATCCTGGAATAAGGAAGTTGGGCATTTCGCTTTTCACGATATGAAGGTTATATCGAGCAGGGACCTCGTGAAATTACATGGTGTCTCCTGCAATGAAATAGAGACCCCAAAGAGTTCTTATACTCTACTCGAATCCAACGATTCTTGTTGTAGCCATGGATGACATTACATCATACCTTCCGAAGCCAGGCTCATGGGCGCTTATTCTTGCTGGCGACTTGATGCTCGCGTGCGAGGACAGGAATGTGCGGCTCTTTGAATGTGAAAAGATTGAGAACATACTCATAGAGTTAAATGGGGTGCATTATGGGTGGGTGCACTATCTAGATTGACAGCTCTAAGTTTCGATGTACACCTATTATCTTAGGTGTTCATTGACGGCAGTCCGACCTGGTACAAGAGCCCTCAGCAGTAGGGAAGTACCATAGTCTCTCAAATGAAAAATCATAGGATCGTAGGACCAACAATCAGCCACGGCTTTCGGTCAATTACTGAGCGCTGGCCCTGACACGAGAAAAGGAAGCACATATCAGGATAATGTTAAAGACTGCGCTCGACGTCATTTGGACCACTTCCGCATTGAGGCATTAAGGGAGCGTTCCCGAGTAGCTCATGCTGCTGATCAATTGCTTGAAGCACGCCTTTGATTATACGGGCGTGCCCTATGCCGAATAAGAACGGCGTCTGTGAGACCAAACCCAGCTTCGAAGTGCCGAGGAAACGATCTTCAAAACAGTCTTTGATAGCGCGCATGGAACTTCACTTTGGTTGACCTTTGGTACGGCCAAGTACTGAACTGGGAAAAGTGGGCCTAAATACGAAAAAAGAGGGCCTAGCTCCCAAGTGGGACAAGCGATAAGAAAGAAGAAGTAGGAGATTGATCTACTCGAACAGTAAACAATGTCCGAAGTTTGCGTAATGAGGCTCGAGTCGTGAGATAATCTATGCAGCTGCTTACTATGCTTGCATGATGAAATATCAGACGCCGAATTACTCTTTTAAATTGGGACAAGAAACTAACTCTCCACGCCTGCTTCACTCCTCCATTGTCAGCGATGTTCTCCCCTTGAGTGAGCTTGCCATTCACTTTTAGGCCAGTGCCTGGCACCTGGAAACATTTCTCATTAGAAATCAGTGATTGCCGTTCAACTGCGTTGTTCAATGCAAACCTCGATCTTTCCATATTGGTCGATGATACATTGGGCCCGCTCTACAAATTTCTTCTTGACATCTGCATCCCACCAGTCGCGGAGGTTACCAATAGCATCGAATTGCTGACCTGAAACTCCACGGTACTAAAACAATAGATGGAATATGAGAAAAATATTATTAGGTATCATCAATAGTATTCCGAAACTGAACGGGGAGAATGGACCACTTTGGCTATCGTTTGAGGGTGAACCTTCTTTTCTGGCGCGTTAAAAGACCTATTTGTTAAAAGAAGTCTTGGGAGCTGAGGTAAGGTCGGCAGACGAGATCACATCAGCACTAAGAAAGACCTCTCAAAAGGTGTAAAACTTTTCCAATACGGCTTGCCACTTATTTCAGGAGTGCATATAAAGCATAGAAGGATGCCATCTTTGGCGTATACAACTGATTTAAAGGATAGCCGGAATTACTAGTACTTTTACAGATGAGTTGGTACCCTTTGCTCGAGTAGGACGAATGAACAATGACCTACATGAATTGCATACTAGCTGTCAAGATGGGGAGCGCAGCCAGGTTCCGCTTGGACAATCCTTATGGCTGAGGAGCCAGTTGTAAATACTCTCACTAACTGAGAGCACCTATGGAGAATCAAAGATTTGTGTTTACGTTAGTGGTGTGAAGGGGGGGGGGGGGAAGTAAAATGAACTTTCACGAAAGAAAACCTCTTTTTGTAGCAAAAAAATAGTGCGAGAGAGGAGCCGGTAGGCAATTATGAATGAAGATAACCAAAAATGCTTTATTTAAGATCAAAGGGCTAGAAGGTGTGCCTGCAATTCTAAAAGAGATAATACTTTTAGTTTGTTCAATGGGGCTCAGAAGACTATTCCATGAAAGCGTCACATGAGTTAAGGATCCTCCTCAAAAAAGTGCTTAGTTCCGATTCTATAGTGCTTTTCAGGGCTTAGATACTGAGCAAAAAAATGGGCGAAAATTATGAAAAGATTACCTTGATCATCAAATCCATGAGTGATTTCGTGCCCAATCACAGCTCCGATGCCACCATAATTCAGCGCTCTAAAAATCTCCGTAGCTTGAATGACTTTCGTAGAAATATTTGTGCTACAATTCACTCGTGCATATAAATAAAACGACTTGACGCTCAACAAAATGTAAGCATTGTTGTGATCACTTTTACAAAAAACCCATGATCCGAAGTGTCAGACTTTGTGGACGCTCACCTTGGGAAAGTATGATGGAAGAAAGGCGCCTGCAGAATAGCAGCTGGAAACTCTGCAAAACGACTGCTCAGAGGAGGAATAATAGAGTGTCTATCGGAGGACAAGCTATTCCATAAGCAATAAACATACTTATCGAATTGAAATTGGACGAGTAATAGGCATTGACGACTGCGGGATTGAAATTGAATTCAGTTCGGTCAACGGGTTTGGTGAGACGTTTGAAGCCAAATTCGATGTTCCACCGTGATAGCTTTTCTATCATTTGACTGTATGAGTCGGTTTCGTCCACGGAAAACTAAAAGCAAAACATCAATACTTGTCCGCAATGTTGTGAACAAAACTAAGATAAAAATGATCGACATGAGTACTTTTTTCAACCTTTATTTTCTCTTATTTACTGTTTTTAGTGGCAGTTAGTCCTTGCTTTCTGGACCTCACAAGTCGAGCCAGAATTCACGGAAGGGATGGTTTTCGAGATCTTCAGGTAGGACGAATCTGTTACCTCTGAGTATGCCTTATGGAGAGCTGTCAAGTGGTCTTGGGCTAATAGTATCCACCTTTGCCCATCTACAGACTTGCTTGCAAGCGTAACGAGAAATTCAATTTTTCCTTACGTTTGAAACCATTATCATTAGATATACATCTCTAAAAATTTAATAATTGTCCAACCGGAAGTTATGCTGGCCCTTCCGGCAAACCCCTCGGAAGAGGAATCGGGAACACAGATGATTTCACTTCACCTGAAGTGATATCAACAGTGGTGTCGGAATCATAGCTCAATTGTTCTGGTTACTGATTACTGATTAGTTGGTTAATCAAGTGGTTATCTCAGCTCCCAGTTTCATCAGCCTGAGAATCGTTCATCGGGTTTTATGTTAAAGCCCTCAGAATATCTTTACTCACGCCTTCGTAATGGTTATCCAGCTTCTTGCTGTCAAGAATAAAATCCGGATAAGCGATCTGTCTTAGCATCTCCTTTGCTTTTTCAAAAGCGGTCTGAAAAAAAAACGTTAGGAGGCATGTTCCCCAAATGACCTATGACTCAGGGAATTGGACACACCTTTTTCGTAGATTTGTCCATCCAATCGTTCTCGACAAGCATTTCATTAAACGCTTCATTCAAATCATTCACCATATCCAGCGTTACATTTTTCGAAGCCTGTAATTGTAGTGGAGTGAGGACGCAGCTCAGCTCAGTAAATGCCAAGGTTGAGCACGGACTCACCTTGTCATACACTTTGCTAACGTAGATGGCTCCAGTAGCATATTGCATTCTGTGCATTGTGGAAGACGTGCATTCCTTCCATGTGGGAGCTTTCTGCTTTCTCCCATACATCAAGCGGTGGAACTCCTTTAATTGAATCCAATGAATGGAGTTAATTTGTATGTAATTTGTATGTGTCTTTAAAGAGTATAGAAAAAAGCATCCACAAGGAGATTGTCAAAAAGGGTGCCACAGAATTGCTGTCAGGAGGTGGGATATGTATGCTGAAGGAAGGAACGACAGATGAAATCCAGTGGAACTTGTGGAAGTCATTAGTTCATCCGCCTCGCAGTACGGTCTGTTATGTGGTAAGCTGATTAAAAACATTGCTCTTTACTGTACATGAGTCCCTAGGAAAAGCGAAGGACTTCAGAGAGCTTCAGATTTTATTCCATTTCCGTTCTTTTCTCTTCACAACACATGTACATTGACGAGCTATTCCACAACCCCTTGCCAATCATGCAGTACCTGCTAGAAAGCATTACTTCCCCACTACAGAAACAAACGCTCATCCTCAAACGTATCTTACTACCTAGTAATTATATTTGGCCAACAGAACTTCGACTTGCTTACTCTGTCTGCCATAGAGCCGTGATAGAGACTGCTTCGTTGCTCGAGAACAACGGCAACGGAACTATCTTCGTTTGCAACTTCAGCAACTCCCCTGTCAGCGCTCATTCTTTACTCCACTCGATTTTGGACTACTCACTATTGACTAGACCTTTTCGCTTTGAAATTGTTTGCAGTGTGTTGGGTAAGGATCATTACCAACCTGGGAGACATCGTCAAATCGCTCTCCAAGTTCTCCGCTCCATGAGGAAGTGAATCGAATAAATATGTAATTGGTGATAATCCGAGGGTCCGTTAATTGCAGCAGTTCGGTGATCCTAAGAGAAATCAGTGGATTATCCATCCCTTTTATTAACCTGGAGCCATCCAGCCAGACCTTCTCATATAGTCAATCTCTACAATAAGGATAGGTGGATCGGTTGCAAAATACTCATGAACAGAGTAAGGTGCAGTGGAATGAAAGTATCGCATCCAATCAACCTGGAAACATTCCTTATCAGATTCTCAATTAGCCTTTATTCGCTAAGGAAAATTATTTGAAAGAAAACCTAGTTAACCCACCATAGGCATGAGCTTTTGCAAATCGCTAAGACGCCGAAGATTGTACATTTTAGAGTAGTCTCGCCGATCTTCCTCTGCCACCATAATTTTTGCTATTTTGGTTTCAAAGTCGATGATCTCGTCCACGTCTTTCGCGATTTTCTCATCGTTGTTNTTCCTTGCACAACTGTACCAACTGGAAAGCAAAAAAGAAAGAAAGAAATTCGTGGCAAGATCTATAAGAAACCTTGTTTATAAGAAACTGTCTGTAGGCTTCGATCTTTTTGCCATGCTTGACTCGATCCAAGTAATAATCACGCGTCGACTCTCCCAGACCAAGATCTGCTTGATCAAACTGCAAATATACGACTACGCTCTATGATAGACAATCAACTATTATCGTATTGCTTGTTTACAGTTCGAATGTACTAAGGCAGGAGCACAATAACGTGAGGCGTCTTTGGGAAATCCAAATACTGCAAACCCTGATACGACTTTACCGCCTCATCATCCCCAGGGTAATTATAGACTGCATAAGGGCCAAGGAACGTAACATACTTAGGAATCTTTAAGCGTACGTAAATACAACGGTTCTCAACGCTCTTGATGTAACTCACTAACACGATAGATTGTAATACTACCTCTACAATTCAGCAGAGCAGACGATAGTGGTGCCAGGGGATGCTACTGTCACATGAATTTTTCGGGATCGAACCCCATGGTACCCTCTCAAGGCAATCAGACTATCTATGCCTGTTAAGGTCGTTCGATTGGTACTAGAGGTGGCACTAGCCTGTATCGGCTGCTCCACCTAACTCAGTGTACAATCCAAAACAGCACTCGAATGTCAATGAGTTTCTGAATGGAAGTCCAGCGCGTTCGCAAGCGGGGTTGGAAGTTCAATTGAGGTTTTCTTCCTTCAGTTTACAATAGGGACTCACAAATGGTTGTTCTCACCTCGATGAGTCTCCTCGAGACGTTTTTGTTGTCAAGAGTGACATAGTTAGCCACAAAGACGTCCAATCCTCTGACTTCAGTAACATGTATCATCAGCGACGTTAGATCAAAGTCTTCTACCCGAAATTTGTCATCGCCTTCGATCATCGGCCATACTCCATAGCCCTACAGACAAAGATTAGAGTTCACATCAAATACTAAAGGCACTAAAGCAAAGCACACCCTAATGGTTGACAGTAGCCGTTTAGAGCCGATCTTATTCAGTTCCTTCTTGTCCATACATTTTCGATACATATATTTCAGCGCATTCATGGATTTTGAGGCGAACAGCTCTGACGACTCGAATGCATCTGAAATGTTTCGACGATTATTGATTACTTGAGTAAAGGCTCTTAATAAAGAGTTTCTTGACCCTTGGGCGGGCCCAATCATACTAGTTAACAGTCACCAGTTGATATTTTTACCAGGTGGGCTATGCCCAGCAACACGTGCATCACAATTAAGAACGCTTTGAACAGAAATATGACATGCAGTGGTGAAGAATGCAGGAATATCCGAGTGGACAAGAAGGTATGCTCATGTGTGCACTCAGGAAATGATGGAGAAACCTTGCCACAAGAGCCATTTCGAAAAACTTCGAAGGAACCAGTATAGAAGCAGGACGTCACCCGAAAAAGGTGCATAGTACTTCCGCGCGAGTTTTATGAACAGTATGCATGGGCTTCCAGGGCGTGAACGACCACGGTCCGAGAAATTTTTTCGAAATGGGAACCTAGAGAGGAATTCCAGAGAGATTGCCTTATGAGGCACAGGAACATTTATGTCTTACGCCTTCAGTAGACACGCTGGAGGAAGTCAAAGGTCGGAGAAATTGGGGGAGATATCAAGCTCTAACATAACGGAGAAGAAAATTAACGAAATAGTGTAGCAAAAGCAGTCGTGGAGCCCCTCACAGACTCCGCCGTCCGCAGGATCAGTAACATGGCCATAGGGATAGACATGAAAGAGTAGTACTGAGGAATAATAGGTCTCAAACACCCCAAGCCGGCTGTCCCGAGTACAACAAATATGAGCTGTATCTGATAATGCCGTCAAAGGCAGATAAGTTCCTGTAGGGACTATCTAATCATAGAATGATCCGAGTAGTGGCGCTAACAGTGAACAGAAGGGTTTGAAAAGGGTTCATTTGGGGAGAGGAATAGTAGAGTCAGGAAAGATGAAGGAGAGAAAAGGCTCGATATGACCTGACAGTTACCGATAGTTATGAAAAGGGGACTCAAAACGTAACTTACACTAGTGAGGGGAGAGAAGCAGTAACCAGTCATGTTCTGGTAGAAAAGAATGCCTCTCAGAACTGAGAAAGACAGCAAGGTACTGCCAGCAAGACCTGGCTCCGCATCAGAGAACTCTCCTAGCAGACAACTGTCCTAGAAGCCATTGAACTTCCCAAAAAATCAGTTACAAAAATGGAACGAAGGATATGTGGTTGAACCGAGCCGAAAACGAAAGCCTCACATGGAAGATACTGAAAACTCCGGCAGATCTGTTACAAGACTGTGAATGTCAACCTACAAAGTGCAAGAGACACGTGGTGGTTTCCGAAGAAATCAAGAAACGTAGGTAGGAATTCTAGCGGGCCGTGAGGCGAAATGAAATCGTAGAAGAGCAATGGCAAAAGGCGCCAGCTCCAGAAGGCTTAGCTACGTACAGAAGCNGAAGGATATGTCGTTTAACCGGGCCGAAAACGAAAGCCTCCCATGGAAGATACTGAAAACTCCGGCAGATCTGTAACAAGACTGTGAATGTCAACCTACAAAGTGCAAGAGACTCGTGGTGGTTTCCGAAGAAATCAAGAAACGTGGGTAGGAATTCTAGCGGGCCGTGAGGTGAAATGAAATCGTAGAAGAGCAATGGCAAAAGGCGCCAGCTCCAGAAGGCTTAGCTACGTACAGAAGCATCAAAAGGTTTGCAAAGACTGTCTTAGTAATAGCAAAGGATACCGAGATGGACGCCCAATACAAGAAGCTGGCCGAGGAGGAGAGCAGTTCGTCTTTCGGCTGGCCGAATCGCGTCGTTGGGCTTCTCAGAATATCGAAATAGTAAGGGCTGTGAAGGACAACGAAGATACAATCTTGAGTAAGCCTGATAAGGTAAGGCGCAAGTGGGAAGAGTACTTTAACAAGTCCCGTAATGAAGAACTTTACGGAAGGAACAGCGCCCAGTACTGGCATCATTGCACTCTAGACAGTGGATGAGGTCTGTCAAGCAATAAAGAAGTTAAGGGTTCGGAAGGCAGTAGGTCCGGTATGAAATATTTTCGTTATTACCACCCATTCGAGGAAGTCCCGCCCTCTGCGAAGGAGTTAACTTCATCTCATTTGTTGGCCCATTCCTCACCTTTGCTCATTTTTCCCAGGGTCTGGGTTATTACGAGACCAAACTTTTACCCTTCGCATAGCCCACTCCAACGAATGTTCCGCCCCGTGTTCGGAGCTCCACTGGCCTCTGTCCCGAACTGATAATTCCCCTACGTCAATTCCTATATTTCACACTTCACTCCTTCCTATACTTGAAATTTAACTCGACCTTCCAGAGTTCTTCTTCGGGTAAAATTCCATAGGTGAACGACATAACACAGACGAAATACAGATAAATATAGCAACGTCAAAGACAACTTATGCTCTACCCTCTCTAGAATTTAAAATATTCGCTGAGAATCGAGCTTACCTCTCATTTGCTCTTGAACCTTATCAGAAAGCTTCCCAAACTGTGAGTAGCTGGTTTTATGGTTAGGGATCGGGTGCGCTTTAATCCAATTCCCGCAAGTGAATTCGAAAAAATCCACGCATGGATCGGCCTGAAAAGATACAGTAAACTTTCGCTTTCTATATCACGGGCTATTATATCTAAGGTGTATTACTTCTACAACCAGAACAGTAACTACGCTTAGATAAAGGTGAGCTCGTACTACGCCGGTGAGCCTCTGTGAAGATGCGATCACGAACTTTGATTCGTTCATTAATGTATAGCCAACGTGTTTTAAAGAAAGAAAAAAAAA